ACTAAGGACCTGGCTTACGCACATGTTGGACATGGAGAGCACCTGCAGTGCTGCTGCTGAGAAGGATAAAGTTATGAAATCCTGCAGCATTATCACTTGTACTGCTTCGTTTTCACACAGAACAAGACCCCCCCACATGCATACACACATGCGCGCGCGCACACACACACACACGCGCGCACACACACAGCCTGAAGCCAGAATACGGAATGCAGAATATCAGCAGGGGGACAGATTGAGACAGAATGTCATGTGTCTGTGACAGTGTGTGTCCTGTCACTGTGACCCGATTGATCATGCGCCCTGGCTAGTTGTACAGGGGAGATCTCTGTTTGGCTGACTGGTTAGTGCATGTGACATTCACCCGGGAGTCTGGGGATCGAATCCTGATTGGACCATTTTTTATATCCGCCACAGATCTCTCTGAAGAACTCACAACATTGACGGCTTCAGCAACGCTGTGCCACTCCGTGGATTTTCTCTTATTTGTTTTGCAAAAGTACTTCCTTTCATTTCTCCTCCTCACCCACAGGTACCTCAATTTCTGCTTCTGTGAAATTGCGCTTCCTTGATCCGCCTTGATCTACGGTCGCCATCGTCATTGGTGGACCGCTGCAACAGCCGGCTTATGTATATGCATGAGGTCCACAAGGCACTTTGCATTGACTATTTATGGCAGTAAGTGGGCGTGGTGAGGGCGGGATGTGACTAAAATGCAGCTGAGAAACATTCTCGTTGGTCTCCGATTTATGAAGCGGAGATGGCGTGCAGCTGTGCGTACTCCATGTTTGATAGATCACACACCTGCTTGGCATAAGTACATTTTTTTTGCTGAGCTTAAGTACGGTTTTAGTAAGGATTCTACGCCATGCTTGATAAATGAGACCCCGGGACCATTTCTGTTCAAGTTACAATCAGCACTCTGACTGAAACTACCTCATTAGCCACTTTTACACGGACACAATCGGATTGAACGTGTAATCAGATAAAAAATTCTGCATGTAAACATGTCAATCAGAATGTTCTGATCCGATTCGACCCGATCAGAATGAGATTTCAATCTGATTGAGAGAGGTGGTTTTGTCCGATCATCATTCCGATTGACGTGCATGTACACAGCTGGATTCGGATTGTTGGGAGTAAAATGATGCCCACTGCGCATGTGTGCAGCAGCTAGCGAGCCTCCCCGCCGTCATTCAGGCTACCTGACTTAAATAAATGACGGCCTAATTAATGAGCGCCGGTTTTTAAATATGATGTTAAGTCGTTCCTGTATTATCTCATCCAGAATTTGCATTTTATGGAAGTAAAATAAAAATCTGATTATTGCACACATCATTTGACAAGCGTGTTCAAGTCTGTTGTGGAAACACGCGGTTTCATTTTGGGTTTGGAGCACGGATCCCCGTTTCTGTGAGCGCAGCGCTGCACAGCCGTGACGTCAGACCTGCGGACCAGCTGATCAAGAGGCAGAGACAAGGATAACCCTCTCTTATTTTAATATCATCAACAATAAAACACAGCAAAGCATAAACCTGCAGTCATTCACTGAAGAAAACGTAACTTCTATGAGCAAAATAAAAACATTAAATTGATTCAATAAATCAGGAAATCAGGAAGAATTTTTCTTGTTTTTACATTTTTCATTTCATTTCATGTCTTTTGTTTACAATTATTTTTTTTTTGGGAAAGAAAACTGCGCATGCTCAACCTGTTTAATCGGATTGAATGCTGGTGCATATAAACTCACGGCATGATCGGCTGACAGTGTCCATGTAAACAGAGATTCGGGATTTCCAATCAACCAGGATTTGAATCGGATTGGGGAAATTTGGCGCATGTAAACGTGACTAGTGACGGGTTATGAGAGAGGATAATCTTTTTGCAGCAGAAAAGCTGAAATAAAGAATAAGTGGTAGACTTGTTTACATTCTTGGTTCTGAAGTGTTTGGATAAAAGTCTGGAATCCCGTCATCCTTAAAAATAATGAAAATTCAGATTGGACATTATTGTTTTTTTCCATTTAGGATCAACATCTAAATCATAGTTTACCATCAGAAAAAACGGCAACATTCTCCATAAACACACACAAAATTATAATTTACAATATCTAAATACACACAAATCTGGTCAAACTCTGGAAATAAAAGCAGAATGACATGAAGCTTCAGCTGTGAATAAATCGATCATGAATGTGTTCCTGGCCATGGCTGAGACGTTATTCCTCTATAAAGAGCCACTCATCACTAAAACAGAAGGGCCTCCGTGGCTGCAGCATATGGGCCGGTGGCAGTGCTCTAAGGGCCGTCCACACCGACGACGACCAAGCAGGAGCACAAAGATCACTTCTGATTGTCTTTCACTAAATAACGAGACATTAATGAACTCCTGCTGATTTAGCAGGAAACGCGTTTCCTACAGCAGAGCTTTGCCTAATACTCGGTCTTCTAACATAAAAGGCAGGCTGTCATTCGGCACCAGGGGGCGGGCTAAAGGAGACCAACACCCAGTGAAGAAGCTGATCATCATGTTTAAAATCTCTGAGTTGATTTAACTTTACTCTAATTATAGACAAAACACCTCGACACGACTAAGTCACAATAGTTGCTGTTTTCAATTACAGACCACTTAGTTAAAGCAGGTATGAACAGTGCATACAGCTGCCTCCATTGTCTATACACTTCCTACTCCGTTGACAAACATCACCAGATGGTGTTTATGGTCAAATGGTCACAAACAACACTTGTTGTTTAAAGCATCCATCCATGCACTTTTATCCACTGACCCAGAGTCGGGTCATGGGGGCAGCAGCCTAAGCAGGGAAGCCCAGACTTCCCTCTCCCCAGCCACTTGTGACCGCTCCTCCGGGGGAATCCGAAAGCGTTCCCTGGTCGGCCGAGAGACATAGTCCCTCCAGCCGGCCCTGGGTCTTCCCTTTGGTCTCCTACCAGTTGGAGGAAAACCTCACCAGGGAGGGTTCTGGGACGCATCCTGACCAGATGCCCGAGCCATCTCAACTGGCTCCTCTCAATGTGGAGGAGCAGCGGGTCTACTCCAAGCACCTCCCGGATGACCGAGCTTCTCACCCTCTCTCTAAGGGAGAGCCCAAACACCCTGTGGACAAAACTCATTTTGGCCGCTTGTATCCGTGATCTCGTTTTTTCGGTCACTACCCAAAGCCCGTGACCATAGGTGAGGGTAGGAACGTAGACCAACCGATTAATCGAGAGCTTTGCCTTTCGACTCAGCTCTCTCTTCACAACGAGACCGGTACAACGCCCGCATCACTGCAGACGCAGCACCAATCCGCCTATCGATCTCACGCTCCAGTTTTCCCTCACTCGTGAACAAGACCCTGACACACTTAAAATTGAGGCAGGACCTCATCCCCGACTCGGAAAAGGCATTCTACCCTTTTTTAACTCAAGACCACTGGATTTAGAGGAGCTGATTCTCATCCCAGCTGCTTCACACTCGGCTGCGAACCGCTCCAGCAAAAGCTGAAGATCACGTTCTGATGAAGCCAACAGGACCACATCATCTGCAAAAAGCAGAGACCTGATCCTCAGGCCACCAAAACGGATCCCCTCCACACCTTGGCTGTGCCTAGAAATCCTGTCCATAAAGGTTATGAACAGAATCGGTGACAAAGGGCAGCCTTGGCGGAGTCCAGCTCTCACTGGGAACGAGCCCGACTTGCAATGGGACCAAGCTCTGACACCGGTCATACAGGGACCTAACAGCCCGTATCAGAGGGCCTGGTACCCCATACTCCCGTAGTACCCCCCACAGGGCCCCCTGAGTGATGCGGTTTAACGCCTTCTCCAAATCCACAAAACACATGTAGACTGGTTGGGCAAACTCCCACACACCCTCCAATTCAATTAAAAAATACTTTATTAATCCCAGAGGGAAATTGATTGATGTAGCAGCTCAGAATAATAATAATAATCAAGTCATCAAAGAGTTGTTGTATATTACAATGGCTGTTGGCAGGAAGGATCTCCAGTAGCGGTCAGTGTTGCAGCCAAACTGAAGAAGCCTCTGACTGAAGACACTCTTCCGTTGTCGGACAGTCTTGTGAAGAGAATGCTCAGGGTTGTCCATCATTTTCTTGATTCTCTGGAGAATCCTTCTTTGCATTATCTCCTCCAGTGGTTCAGAAACTGCTGAAACTCTGGCTGAGTCCTTGAAAGGGCTTGGAGTTCCTCCATCTTGTTGGCCAGTCATCTCACATTGCCCGTTATGATCGATGGAAGAGATGGTTTGAATTTCCTCTTTCTCTGTCTCCATTTTGCTCCCACTCTGCACCCACGCTTCTTGTGTTTTAGCTCATTTGGGATTTGTGGCTTCAGTTGAGGTATAATTTCAGCCTTTCCCATGTTAATCAGCTGCTCCCGATTGTAAAACAGCTTGTTGCCATGGTTACGCATCATGACAAATGCTCAAAAAGTGAAAAAAGCAAAAAAATAGCAGTAAAAATCCTCCAAGCTTCACAGCACCAGAAACAGAAAAGTGTCCAAAAAATACAGTTTTTCTTGAGAAACTAGAAGAAAAAATGCCCACGAAAAGGCAAAACTTACATCTAGTCAACAGAGCTACTCCAACATGCAGCCACCCAGAGCAGCGCAGTAGGATCCAGGACCCTCTCAAGGGTATAGAGCTGGTCCAGTGTCCAGGATGAAAACCACATTGCTCCTCCTGAATCAGAGGTTGGACTATCTGATAGACCCTTTTCTCCAGAACCCCTAAACAGACGTTACCAGCGAGGCTCAGGAGCGTTGTTTAAAGCAGACAGGTGATCTGTTAGAGCAGACTAGCAAATACACCGTCTCCCTAAACTGTGACCCTGTACAGGAACACACATTAAGTATTAGCTGATCGATATCCAGAAGCTCTCTGATGGTGGAGCCATGTTTTCTCATTTACTGTTGTTGTTGTGGACGGCTGTTTAAACCTCTGAAAAGGTTTCTTAAGTTCCAGACAAAGAACCAAAATCCTTCTGGCACAAATGTTGGAAGAGCTTTATTCAGGACAGAAACCTGATAAAAGTTACGGCAGTAACATATTTACGCTTTAGGTGTGACTGGAAACAGGAAACACCTAACCCTAAGAACAGAAGCGTAACCCAAACACCCACAGTTTAAACAAAACCACAGCGTGGAAATCTCATCTATAAATATATATGTATGTGTTTGAGCGAGCTGATCTTCCACAACTTCTGACAAGAAAGTTGTGTTCTACTTTTTCACCCAACAAGTGCAAGATAATTATGTAACAGCCGTGTGATCGATTAAGAGCAACGTGAGGGTGCAGCGTTCCTCCTGCGCCCGTCACAGCGGGTGGGGTTTGAGCGGGTGTGCTCTACCGTTTCCTTCGTGAACATCACGTCACTACCCCCTATAACGGTTCTGTCTCGTGGAGGAGCTAATTTATGTGGATCTGTGTGAAACACGCATAGGGAAAAAAAACGACAGAAAGAACAGCCCCCCCCCCCCCCCCCCCCCCAGCCGCGACCCGGCTCCCATCATTCATGTTTATGAGCCGTTCAAAAAAATCGGTTCGTTCACGAATGTCACAACTGTAGAAGCTGAAGGGTCTGCACCAGAGCCTAGAGGGCTTTCAGCAGAACCTAAATCTGGGTGGGTATGGTCAGGTTCGGGACTGGGATTTGGTTTCACGCGTGGGTCAGATATGCATTTTCTGTTCCGAGGTGACTCTTTTGTTCAGATCTCTTCCTCAGAGGTCCGACTGGGACTGAGGTGACACTACGGACCGATTGGCCGGCTGAAATTCACACCAACTGCCTCTGATTGGCGAGTAGAATAAGCCAGGAGGGTTCCATGCACAATTCATTTTTACGCTGGAAGCTGTTAAGTAAAGAGAGCAGTGTGTGTGTGTGTGTGTGTGTGTGTGTGTGTGTGTGTGAGGAGTTTGAGTACACACACAACAGTGAGAGAAGAGGGAGCAAATTAATAAAATAATGTGGTTCAGAGTCTCCAAAAGCAACACAACTCACACCCGCCTTTGTTGTCTTAACAAGGGTACTACAGACTTTCCTGCACACCCACATGCTCTGGGATTCCCGCATTCCTGAGAACTCCTTTGGAACTACATGTGAACACCACACTGCCCGTGTGAGACCGAAATGATGCAATCCTCCCCCGACTGCACCAACCCTAATGTGCAAGTGCCATAAGGGGCCTGGCATCTTGTTAAATAGATGTGCAAAAGTACATTACAATCCACTCGAGTGTGAAGCAGGTGACATGATGTACAGAACAACATTTCTGATCCAACGGAGAAGGTTTTTAGGCATTTGTTGAGTCTAAAACTGTTCTGAAAGCAGCTCAGAGAGTCGCCGAGACACAGAGTCCTTGCTGGTTCTGAGGGTTAGACGGTACATCTGCAAAACAGAAACCATCAGTTACAGAATGTGTGTGTGCATGTGTGTGTGTGCATGTGTGCGTACCTGAGCTTGTGCATTTGGCTCCAGCCTGAGGAGACAGCCCACCTGAGTGGACTTGGTGTGAATGATGCCGGCTCCAACAAAGTTAGCAGGATTGGGATCCACTCTGTCCAACAGAGCCACACCAAAGCCCAGCAGCTGGAGACGAAAACAACACAGAACATGAAACAAACCGTGACGTCCACAGCCCAGCTACACGGTGAAACCCCAGATGGACTAACCCCTGTGTAGCGGAACAGCAAACAAAGACTTGAAGACCATCTTGATTCAGTCCAACAGGTTCTACGCAAACAAGCTTTTATGAACTTGTTTGTGTTGAATTTCAAATTAAAGAGGACTTGAACCATCAGGACCTCACACAGGGTATCCGCGGGTCCTTAAAAAGTCTTAAATTGGCTTTTCCAAATTTAAGGCCTTAAAAATCCTAAAAAATGACGAATAATCCTTAAATAGTTTCCAAAGGTCTTAAATTACCAAAGACCCAATAAACAAGATTCTTTTATTTTTATAAAATTTTCATGAATTTCTAGTTAGTGTTCAGCATTTTTTGTGTATGATATTGGGGTAATCGGAGCCGTACACGTTCAGTTGGTTGTGAAAGGGGGCTGTTTTTAGATGAGCGCATTAGCTGGTTAAGCTAGCGGGAGCTTGCGCCATGGGGAAGTGCAAGTTTAATGGTAACGGGATGGCTAATCCCACATTCGCAACGGGGTTAGCACCGTTTCCAGGCAATAGCTGGAAATTATAGCTTAAATGTAATTTTAAAAATAGCTTAAATTTGGTCAAAGTAGCCTTAAAAAGGTCTTAAAAAGTCTTAAATTTGGCTCCCTTAAACCTGCAGATAACCTGTCACAGACAAATGAGTCTAATGGTATGCTTCCACTGTAGGACCTTCAAGGTAATTTTATCAAATTTCCCGATGTGCACGCGTCTCCACTTCACCAGGCCAAACGGCCGTTTACCGGCTCACTTTCAGGAACTTTTGGAGTACCTGAATGGGTAGGTAGGTACCTGAAATGGCCTGGTGGAGTTGCTGAGCAGAACCTTTGGTTAACTCACCGTTTGGTTGTAACTCAGTAGGAAATGACATCAGCAGACGCTGTAAGAACGACCGGTACTAGAAGAGCTGCTTGTGAAGCAGAATAGAAGCAAAATAAAATAAGCACCAATCGCTGTTTTAAAATCACCATTACCAAACTCCCAACAAGTGAAAAACACAGCAGAATTCCCCGTAACAACTTCCTTCACAGGGCGTTGTTGTCCCACAGAGCTCAGTGAATAACCGAGCTTCTTCTGGTCATGCAACAGCTCTCCCGATCCTCCAAATGGATTCAATTATACTGGACTTTAACGGTACTGCGGACGTTTGTTGGTGCTGATCAGTGACATCACTCGCTGCCGAAGGAGCCGTAATATGGTGAAACATGGGAGTGGAAGTATCATGGTTTAGTGTTGTTTTGGAGCCAACCAGGACACACTGTCCTACATTTTAATTCCAACATCGGATCTAGTCCTGAACAGCAGATGAGTTTCCGGTTACCTTTGCTTTGGTAACATCAGTATCCATTTGGTGTTTGGCTTTGAAGATGTTCTGCACCTCCTGCTGAGGACTGATGACACACAGAAGCAACTATATCAGTTTTAACTCCACGAGAGCAGCAAGTATGAACGATACAACACGTTTTGCATTAATCTGATGGTGTCCATCTTGAAGGGTCTGGACAAGTTGGACATGGAGACGACGAGCTGCGAGACCACAGAACCCAGTTTAACAGGAGCAAGAACATTTAAACCAGGAAAAGCAGTCAGAATGATTTCTGTGAGGTCATCTTACTGAAAACATACAATCTAAATCATTTTCCTTACGGGAAGCATGGCGTCTGGGAACTCTTCTATTCAAATAGGCCTGAGATTTCTAACCGAGCCAATCAGTGCTGAGCAGCGTACGTCACACATCACGATGCTCAGTTTCTCATAAACAACGCAGACAGCTCTTTCCTCTGTCCTACATTTGGACGTCTTTAAACCCACAACAAGAAGAAGCGCTAAGAGCCTTTCTCCTAAAGAAAGATGTTTGTGTCGTTGCCAGACGCCATTTTTGACTACAGCTATAAAAAATACAGCATCGCGCGACACACTCAGCATTTCCGCCCTTTTCTGATTGGTTATGTTTGAGCTGGCTAGTCCCGCCCCTCATGTGCCTCTCTGCCTGTGAGTAACCAGACTAGTTCTCTGTGTAGAGTTAAACAAGACGAGTCTGGCAGGCCAGGCTAATGTCGACTCGACTGGACAATACCTCCAGGTTTTGAAAAATATTGACATAGTTACAAACAAGATGCACGATGACCCAGTAGTTTACACCAATAAACCCTAACCCTAGCCCTAACCCACCAATAAATAAACAAAGTGAATTTGTAGAGTTAGCAGGTGTCGAGCCGGCTAGCTGGCTGCAGCTCCGTCTCTGTTGTGTCACATGACATGGCATATGTTATCCTAGCATCTGGTTGTTTGTGTACTGACAAACTCACAGGAAAGTTGCTCTAGAATATGTTCTGGCCTAAACTTAGCATTTAGCTTAGCAGGTTTTCATATTTTTCAAAAACGGCATTTCAGCATGTTTTGTTTTTCCTGTGTGGGCGGAAAAGTGTGCTAAACCCCTCCGCCCTAGACCGCTGGTAGGAACCAGCAACCTTACGCTCCAAGCTGTTTCCAGCGTTGGAAGAAATCCTGGGATGTCATCTCTGTGGGCTGGAAGAACTTGTTCAGCATCACGGGAAGTTTCACTGCGATGCTCTGCAATGTTCCACCGTACCTGTTTTTACACGCAGACGTTAGCATGTGTACAGCTAACAAACGGCCTAAAAAAAAGAGTCACACCAACCTGAACTGAATGTTGAGAACAGGCGCATCAGAGAAATCAGACACACATTCGATATTTAGGATCTGCTGGACCTGAGCACCACCCTCTATTAACTGGTCTACAGTCTTGGTGTGGACGTTCAACTGTGAAGGGGACAGTCAAGGTTTCTACAGATGAGATCGGACGTTTACCACCCAATGAAGCTGAGAACACTACAGGATATGAGAGCCGAGGACGTCATTAGTGGTCACTGATGAAGAGAAACTAAGGAACTGAGTGGATGTCTTGTTGCCGTAGAACACGTACACACGACCTGCAGGAACACAGAAGGTAAAGCACTTGTCAGGATGTCAGGAAGTAATATAGAGCTGTTGTCAGAAGCTCTAAAGATCACTCCGGTGCAGCTTTCCATTGAGGTTTCTGCCTCACTGTTTTCATCAACAGATGTTTCTATGGTTACTCAAGTGGATTTACAGCTTTTCAAGGTTTTATTGACAGTCACAGGAAGCTGATGCAAAGGTTCCACATCTTTAGTGTTGGTGCTTCTAGACATCTAGGCATTTCGTGCAGCAGAAACTCAAGAGGTAGAGCAGGTTGTCCCGTAATCTGAAGGTTGTAGGTTTCATCCTGGCTGTTGTGTCCTTGGGCAAGATAATAATTCACCTTGCCCGCTGACGGGGGTTGGAGAGACGAGTGGTGCCAGTGTTTGGTAGCCTTGCTTCCTTCAGTGGGCCCCAGGACTGCTGTGGCTACATTGTAGCTCATCACCACCAGTGTGTGCATGTGTAGATGAAGGCGCTATGCAAATATAGCTGATTTACCATTTACAATCTGTAGGGCATCCTGACCTGCAGGTTCATGTTGGGGTTGTCTGTGTCCTCTTGCTTCTGGAGAGATTAAGGTCTGGATAGTTTCCTGGACCTAGACTCAACCTGAGCTGCCACCTTACCGTGGTGGAGGGGTTTGTGTCCCAAGGATCCTAGGAGCTAAGTTGTCTGAGGCTTTATGGCTCTGGTAGGGTCACCCATGGCAAACAGGTCCCAGGTGAGGGATCTGACAAAACACAGCCCAAAGACCCCTTATGATGATTACCTCAAATGAAAACAATGTTCCCTCGCCCGGACACGGGTCACCGTGACCCCCCTCTGGAGCCAAGCATGGAGTTGGAGGACGCTGGCAAGAACCTGGTGGCTGGGATTTTACCAATGGAGCCCGGCCAGGGATAACCCAAAGGGGAGACATGGGTCCCTCTTCCCATGGGCTCACCGCTTGTGGGAGGGGCCAAAGGGGTCAGGGGCAATGTGTGATGGGTGGTAGCCAAAGGCAGGGACCTTGATGATCTGATCCTCAGCTACAAAAGCCAGCTCTTGGTATGAGGAATGTCACTTCTCTGGAGGGGAAAGAGCCAGAATTGGTGTGCAAGGTTGAGAGGTTCTGACTTGATATAGTCTGACTCCAGAACCAGTTCCTTGAGAGGGGCTGTACTTTCTACCACTCTGGAGTTGCTCCCACTGAGATGCACCAAGCAGGGGTGGACATACTAGTTGCCACCCAGCTCAGTGGCCTAGTGGTAGAGTGTCCGCCCTGGGACTGGCTGATCGGAGTTCAAGTCCCATTGGGGTGATACCAAAGACTTTATAAAAATATGGATCCAATGCCTCCCTGCTTGACACCCAGCTTTAAGGGTTTGGACTCGAGGGTTAAACCACTAAATAGTTCCAAAACGCGGCTGCAGCTGTCTGGTGTCTGCAGCTCACCAATCCCCATGGGGATGGGTCAAGGATAATTTTCAACACACCACACCAGTTTGTGTGACAACTATGGGACTTTAAATTTAACTCAACTTAATATATTGGTGCCTGCACGTTGATGTTTACCTTGGTGAACAAGAGGTTAGCCCCCCTTCTGCCTGGGGGACGGGTTCTGACAGTGGTTTGTTAGCCTGACCAGCCAGTCCCATGCTTCCTTATGGTAAATGGCCTGTATTTTATATAGCGCCTTCTAGAGTCCTGGAACCCCCCAAGGCGCTTTACAGCACAATCAGTCATTCACTCATTCACACACACATTCACACACTGGTGGGGATGAGCTACAATGTAGCCACAGCTGCCCTGGGGCGCACTGACAGAGGCGAGGCTGCCGAGCACTGGCGCCACCGGTCCCTCCGACCACCACCAGCAGGCAATGTGGGTTAAGTGCCTTGCCCAAGGACACAACGACAGCGACAGACTGAGCGGGTCTCGAACCTGCGACCTTCCGATTGCGAGGCGAGCACTTAACTCCTGTGCCACCGTCGCCCCATGCATGGGGCTGGGAACTCTTCTATTGAAATAACCCCACCTCCTGAGAATTCTAACCGAGCCAATCAGTGCTGAGCAGCGTATGTCACACACACACACACACACACACACACACACACACACCGCAACACTGAGTTTCTCATAAACATGGTGGCTGAAGCAGCGTTCGCTGAGGCTCTGTTCTCTGTTCTAAATTACTTGAACATGTCTTTAAAACCACAAGGAGACGCGCTAAAAGCCTTTCTTCTAAACTTGTTCTCTGTGTAGACAGAACAAGTCTGGCAGGCTGGGCTAGCGGTTTGTGCTTATGCACCAAAACGCAGATCAGACTTCCCACCCTCAGTGGCGGTTCTACATCGAATTACTCCCCGGGCGAGGCCCCCTTTGAGCGCCCCCCCCCCCAACCGCCCCCCCACCCCCCCCCCACCACCACCACACCACCCCACCTGCATGAACACACGCATGTTTTCTACAAACAGGCATGTTTATTAGAACGACTATTGAACATTCATTTTTCTAAGTTGCACATATTTACATTAATTACTATGAAGTTGTCAGAATATAAAGCAATATACATTATTTACAGTATCAAAATATATAGAATCAAATATACAAAAACAAACAATAACTAAATATTAAGAATATATGAACATAATAGATAATAAATATTGTAAATAGCAAAAATATTTCACACATAACAAACTAAAGATAATCACTACAGCACTGCACTTAGAACAGAAAACACAAACTAAAATTAAAACCTAACCTTGATGCAATGTCATCAATAATGTCATCATATGAAATCTGCTCCCCTACTGAGTGATTGATACTAATCAGAGCCAGGTTAGTGAGCCGCCCCTGAAACATAGGTGACCTCAGGTATGACTTGATCAAGTTTTGAAAAGCTCCTCTCAGCTTGAGCCACAGTGACTGGCAGAGCAGTCCAAAAGTTGGGGTAGATCTCCAATAGATCTTTATCATGATCCATAATATTTTAGAATTGCCTCTGAAATTGTAATTTAAACTGACATAAAAAATTGTAGACTACCAAAAATGCCAACTTTTACAGAACAAATCATGTAAAAATAATCAGTGCAGCCATCTGCAATAAATAAACAGTTAGTGGTGACTGGGGAGTTTTCTTCTGCTTGTAGAGTTGTTTTATTTATTATTATGTGAACATGATCAACATGTGTTTGTTGTTGTTCAGGCAGGCCACAGGCTGCAGTGAGCATTTAACAAATCCTAGTTTGAATCAGTAAAAAACGATTCAAGGACTTTTTTCGAACCATTTGAATATTCGTTTCAATATTTCAGCCCTATTAGCTCTGTTAGCAATTAGTTGACCGCATTTAACCGTTAAAATCCCAGTTAACTGGTTCAAAAAATTGAAAACATGCATCATGAGAGCTACATACCTTTATCTTTTTTTTCCCCCTGAATCGAACACCTGGTGGTTTTAGCCTTTTTATGTTCATCTCTTCTGTTTGGCTCTTAACTCAGTAAGTTTCCTTTAGTCAGGACTAAACAATTTGACCTTGATGGGGGGGTGACCACAAAATCGTTTTGTTTTTCCTTTTTTTATTCGACCATTTCACACAATTCAGAGAAACCTGAAAGAATGATAGGCCTGTGTTTATGATATTATGAATGAAATATGGAAGAAAGTTAAGATGTGATTGACTTTAGCCATGTTAATACAGTTGATTCAGCCCCTGCACGCTCATTTCATTTGGGAAAGACGCAGAGGTGAATTCCCCCGCCGCACCCCTCCCCTTCCTGTTCTTCATAGACACACGGTGCACGTGAACGTTCTCAGTCAGCATGAGCGCCTGCAGCTGCAGGGGGCGCCAACTTGCTGTTTCCAATCCAGACACTGTCATATGACAGATAATAGAAAACCTCGGTGCGGCGCAGATTTCCTTTTTTTTTTTTTTTTACTCAGCGCTTGTGCGCCCCTTTTGTGTCATGAAAAAATGCCGCCCCGGGCAACTGCCCTGTCTGCCCGTGCCTAAAACCGCTACTGCCCACCCTATATGGAGTCTCTGGAGGGACGAGGTCCTGCCCCAAATGGAGAAGTTAGTATCCTGGGATCTTGTTCATGAGTGAGGGGAAGATGGAGCACGAGATCAATAGGTGTTTTGGTGCTACTTCTTCAGTGATGCGGTCGTTATACCACTCTGTTGTGGTGAAGAGAAATCTGATCTGGAATGCGAAGAGCTCGATTTTACTACGTTCCAACCCTCACGTACGGTCATGACGAGTTTGGGCGGTGACCAGGGCTGGACTGGGACAAAAATTCAGCCCGGGCATTTTGACTGGAGACCGGCCCATCACCTGTTTTTTTTGGAAAAGACATTAAGCCTTACGCTGTTTCTGACACACACCAACGTACACTTTCTTATTGGTAATATTTATGTATCAATCTAATAAACGTAAACCTACACCATCCTTCCTATCCTGGTATTCTAAAAAGTAGGGTTGGGGGTAACTGATTATTTTTAAAATGATTATTCTGACGATTATTTTATCGAATAGTCAACTATTCTAATGACTATTTAGATGATTAATCTAGCGATTACTTTTCTATTGCACAATTAATAAAAACCAAAAAATTCTCAAATAAATTCCTCCAAAAAATTGATAAGTTGTTACTGTAAGAGAATAAACACTACAGGCCTTCCATTTTGTAAAACACTGCTTTTATTGTGTTGCGGTTGGTTATGTTCTGGTGACGTGTAGAACTTGGGAGTGCAGGCTGCTGCCTGAGAGGTGGTTGGAGATGGCGTGTCTCCATGCTGCTTTGTTTTGTTCACTTATGTGCATGAGGCAAGTGGTGTTACGACCCTTCCTGGGGAGTCACGTGTTTCTCCTATTTTAACTGTAAATCCTTCTAGCTGTTATATTTATAACAAGAAACAGATATTCGGACAGAAAATTTTTACGTTTATTCGAATATGATTGTGGAACACACCCAGCATCATAATAAATGAAGTAATATTTATGCCAATTT